AGAACAACTGGAGCTAATTAATGGGAGCAAATAAAGAGGCAAACTGAGCATTAAATTGGTCACCTACATCAATAGCAAAATAGTCACTACATGGCCACTCAGTTGTTTCAGCTGATGAAAAGTTGCAGGATTGGTTTCCTAGTATCAAAAGTATCTAAAATTGCATCAGAAATATCCCAACATTTTTTATTCTTTTCTATTGCCCTTCAATGAGAGTAAAATCCTGGAAGCCATTTATGGTATTTTAGCATGGTGTTAAGGAATCCAGCTTGTTTTGTAAGACTGAGAGTGCCCTCCTTGTGTTTCATACCTAGGCAAAGCTGGTCCTCTGCAGTTTTTGGCCTTCTCCCTTTGTGTGTGTTTAGCATGAGAAGACTTCCTAATTGAGAAGATTGCTAGCGTTCCTTCAAGTTCTGCAATCACACTAAATTTGCAAAGGAATCAAAAAAGTTTATTGTTTCTGTTGTAAACAGTTTCTACTAGATTAGTGGTTAGCATTTTGCGTGTTTTATTCTGGTTGCCCGTTTAGTCCTGAAAATCTTGAGTTGTGTTGTTGCATGTTGCAAACAGCACAGGCACTATTCACTTGCTTTTCTTGCTGGTGGAAGGCTGGAAACCTTCATTTGCTATAGACCTTAGCAGGGAGAAGGGGACTGTGCAAATAAACTACAAATCCTCCTTCAGACCTTCTAATAACTGTTTTCGTGAGGTAGAATTTTCTGATGTAAGTGCAGTTTTGGTGGGGGGGTGTGTATACATGTGCGTGCGCACATGCACTCTTCCTTCAGTAGGACACTCCTTGGTAGATCTCAGGACTCATCCAGAATGGTACACAGGTCCTAAAGTTCCATTGGTTTGAACTAAACATTAAGTAAATGTCAGTAGCATATTGTGCAGAACTGTAACCACTGTATTTCCTTTCCTTATCTGCAAGATAGGCAAATACAGAATATTTCTATTTTAAGGTAATCCCTAAGGAATGTTTACTTACCTGCCATAGAAGGTCAGATTTAGCTGGCTCATACAGCTGAGCTCTGAGGTGATCAGGGCAAACAAATTGAGCAATTCTGTCATGGGGATTAAGAGAAACTGTTCCATGAGCTTGATGTCTCCTTCCTGGAGGGCAGAAGGCAGTGGTGCTTTGATAGAAGAGTAGTAACCCTGCCTTTTTCTGCTTCCAAAAACCTTCCATCTGATTTATGGAGCTGGGCCTCCGTCTTGCACACTGCCACTTTGCTGCTTCATTTTTTTGTTTTCTTTGCGTGAATTTGAGAGGCAGAATTTCCACCTAGTCACAATAAGACTTTTTTTATAAAGTAGCTAGATTTTCTCGATGTGCTAAACAACCATAACAACATCTTATTGCAGCTTCCTCCCCCTCCACCCTTCATTTGCAAGGAAGAGAAATTTAAAAACCTTTGCAGAAATGGCTAAAAGCATGAACAGGAGATCCAGACCAGATGTTTGAAGTGAGATATTTGAATTGTAGTCTTCTTTGTATGCAAACTTTATCTGGTTGTCTGAAGCAGAAAAGCTCAACAATTAGTTTTGTATGTGGCTGTGCGAAGGCATAAATTAAACTCCATTTGCATACTTTATACAACTGTTTTCAAGTTTCCCCGAGTTCCCCTACTCCCCCTTGTTAATGGCTGCACAAGGTTAAAGTTGGTTTTTTTTCTTGATTGAAAAAATCTGTAATACTCACTGTGCTTTCTCATTGCTTCTCTTTGCAGTCTTTGAACAACTTAAATGGTGTAAGTAAATTTAAGAACATCACTATTTTTCATTAGTACTTTAAGAGAATGTATTGTTTGCCAAAAGTGCTGGAAGGGTCCGGCGTGTGTGTCTGTGTACTGTCACTACCAACTGATGTAGGCCTAATGGATTTTCTGAGAAGACTTGGATGGGAGAAAATTCATATTATGAGAAGAGACTTCTGAAAACAAATGTTAGATGAATTTTTGGACTGCACTGTCTTCTTGATTTCCATAGTTGCTTGAAATTGGGCTACAGATGTTTGAAAAAAGACTGTCTGCAGTCAGTTCAACAATAAAACTAGTTAGGGAGGTTGTATGTACTTGCCTGCCTGTGTGGTCTTCTGGTTTTCGCGGAGGCTCTTGAGATGAGGTACTCACCACTGCTCTCGAGTAGCTGGCCAGGCTTTGCCCTTCCTGGCAGAGACACTTTTTTAAAGAGGCTGCGTTTCCAGAGTTGGAACTATTGCTCAATAAGTCCCTGACAGGTCCTTCTTTGATTGCTGTTATTATTAGCGTCAGTGTTTCTGAGCAGCCCTGTTTGTAAAGTTAGACCAATAGCATAAGGAAAAAGTAAGACATTCTAAAATAAAAATTTCTAGGACAAGTAGAACAAGTCATGAAAAGTGAGATAAGTAGACACCTAGGAGCAATTAGTTATGTATTCACTTCTGACTTTCCTGTTGAATATATCTATGGAAGCGCTTTGTTCATACAGGTGTCACAATAGATAGAAACTTAACATTTACTCTAATTTCCCCGCGTCCATGTTCGGAAGTTTTAAAAATTTAAGGTGATTTTTAGTGTCTGTGCAAAAAGACTACAGTTATTCATGACAGTGTTTTTACTCAGAACTTAATTTTCAGCTCCTAATTCTGAAATAACCTAAGTTAACTTTTTCTTTGTCTATTCAATGTAGATGTAAATTACTAGTATTTTAAGTAGCTTGAACAGATGGCTCTGCTTAGATTGTTTTTGGGCCTTTTTTATGTGGGGGGAGGGTTGGTTTTTTTGTGTGGTTTTTTTTTGTGGGTTTTTTTTCTACTGCAAAAGCCCATCCTTGTGCAAGTAAGACTGTTTACAGGTATAGTCATGTAATGTGACTGCATTGTTAAAGGATTGAATTACATGATAAATTTTCCAGGGTAACCTGATGGCTTACTTCACTGTAACTGCAGGCTTTATCTGAGACCGGTTTACACTTTTCATGGTTAAAGAGCTGTAACTCAGGACAGGTGGGAATGTAAAACTGCTTCGATAGAATCTTTTGTGCATGGACAACTGTAATCCTTGGTGGGTTTGTGTAGTGGGAAGTTTTATCTCAAAAGCTGGTTTTGAAAGCTGTGTTGGTAATGGAGCTGCAAGTTCTATAAAATGGATTGCTGAACTTGTTAGTTTCTCGTTTGTAACATGAGTATTTTGTTTTGGTTTTTAGTAAATGCCATGCAAACACTATTACAAGTGACTGGAAAGAATAACACTTAAATAAAATATAAATATTTCCAGTGAGAATACACATGCAAAGAACACGTTTTATTTACTATAAATTCTCAGGTTCCTTGAACCTACTAGAGCCAAACACTCCCTTGTTTTTTTTTCCATTCCTCAGGTAATGCAGTTTTGGAAGTTCAAGTTTTTTGGTCTCTCCTTCTGCCTCTCTTTCAAAAATCTGTTTTCTTTCACATACATACTCATCTCCCTGCGCCCACTACAAGTCTTAGAAAATTGTCTTGTAGTACAGATTGTTCATAACCAGTCAGGACAATCTGAAATCAGGTGACATACCAGTTAATAATACTAGAAGAGGTTTATGGGCTGCCTTCCTAGGGTATGTGTGAAGATGGGGACGACTGTGAGGTGAAGGATAAGATTTCTACTTTTTTTGGAAGGCATTTCTCAATGAGAGAGTGACCTTTTACAAGCCAGGCAGTTGGTTTGAACGCCAGGCCTCATTTATAGTGGCACATATTTCTGTGGAAGAATAGGATTAAAAAAATCTGACGTACTGTTCTAATGGAACTTCCATGGCATTGTTTAATGAGCGACAAAACAATGAGCAACCACCCAAGGAGCTGAAATGCGTGTTCATCTTCAAATGTGTAACGCCGTGCTACAGCACAAATAGCAGAGTGGCTAAATGTGCTAGTTTAATTTCAAACTGAAAGAAATACTCAGTTCACTTATGTGTAATTGTCTTGAGTGCAATGCATTTAAAAGGAACTTCAATGCTGTATTGAATAGAGAAATGCATAATACATTATTTAAAAGATAGTATGTTTTTATTTTCCTTTTACATTTTTAAGAGTGGATTGAAAAAGGAATACATTAACAACAAAAAAGGGTGCCTGAAATCTGCTGTTTCCATGTGATACAACGATTCAGCACTTTAAGCTGATTTTTTTGTAATTTGTTTTTAGAAGGGTCAGCAACTTTTAAGTATTTATTCTCATCACTCCCTTATCCTACTGAATCACTTCACCTCCCTGTGGACATTCAAGGGAGTAATCTCCTTACCTGAATTATTGCAGACAGCTGTTCTCAGTCACTGAAACTTGGTAGATGAACGTTTTGAATTCTGTTGTTGTCATCATTTTTATATATTCTGTACTCTGTGTTGTTTTAAACACTACTTGATTTTTAGCTACTTTGTTTTAATAAAAATATATAGAAAATTAAGTAGTCTTTTGTGTTGAGGAAATATTAAATACTTTACAATTGAACATTACAGTTTTGGTCAGTGATGATTTTTTTTTGTTTTATGCCACACATGGTGGATATAATAAGCTGAATGCTTCTTTTGAGTTCCCCCCCAATCCCTATAACATCTCTGAAATTTAAGAGTGTTTCCCAGTCTTTTCTCTGCACTTTAACAGTTTTGCTTGTTTCATTTCTATAGGTTAATGTGAATCTTACGTATTACATACCTGTTTTTTGGATATCTCCCTTACCCTTTCTCAGGAACACTTCTTTGCAAGAAATGCTTCCAGTATCTGTCCAAAGAGTGGCAGTATCACAATACCATCATTTTAAATAAATCATTATCACTTCAAATTGAGAAATTCCAAGAAAAAATTGTGTGAAAACTGGTAAAAAAAATGTGATGCTGATATATTGCAGAGGGGGAAAAAAAAGCCCAAACCAAAGCAAACAAAAAACAGGAATTGAGTTCCTATAGGTTTTAATTTAGTAAATTATCTTTGCTTTTCTACTTTTTTACAATCAGTTGACTCTTCTTCAACTTTTCAGGCACAGGTACCTTTGGGCGTGTTCATCTGGTGAAGGAAAAGATGGCCAAACGTTACTTTGCACTGAAAGTAATGAGCATTCCTGATGTCATTCGACTGAAGCAAGAGCAACACGTACACAATGAAAAGTCTGTCTTGAAAGAAGTCAATCACCCCTTTTTGATCAGATTGTAAGTTGTTGCATTTTTTAAATTAACTCGTATCTAACGTGTAGTTAAAAGGTTCCAGAGTCTCATTGCAAGTTCTTATGTACTTAACCAAGACCAAGCATTTAATTTCTATTATATAATCTAGATTAAAATAGCCTTCAGACTGAAATATTTACTATAGAAGAATCAAGACTTCAAAATCAAGAGACATAATTTAAACATTTAAGTTTATAATAAATTATTCCTTAATTATGTCTCTTATTTTCATACTGCAGAGAAGGAATTTTCTTAAGTGAGGGGAAAATACTAATAAAGAACTGTTAAGATTGGCTCATCAAAATGACTTCTAGAATGATTCTTGATAGTGAGGAAAGAAATATTTCTACATATATATGTCCTGTAGATATTGAGATGATAAAGATATAAGTGGATTTAAGATTTTTTAAAAACCAGATACTTAACTTTTGTGAACTTTACTTTTGCAAATTTTATTTTTAAAGAGTTTAAATGACTGCTGAACTTCTTGAGCTTAGTTATTCCCATATTTGAGGTTGAGTGATGGAATTTACTGAGAAACGCGATTTAACCACAGTATGTGAAGGACACTTGTTTTAGTGGAATTGTGGTGATTGTAGTAATCTCTTTATTAAGGAGAGAAGGCATTGTACTTTCCTGTTCCACCGCAGCACCTTTTGTGTATCTGAATCCATATCTATTAATGGGATAACTAAACCTCTGCATAATTGCACAGTTAATTTTAATTTATATTTTCTCATGCATGGACACATGGCCATTGACCAAGATTTGTTTTGCATTTAACTGCCTTAATCAGTTTTACATAGAATTAAACAAAATTAGCCTTAGTTAATCTCTAGCTACAGGGAGTGCAGCATTCTCTCAGGGCTAAGAAAGTATCAGTGGCAAAATAAGAGGCAGAAGTATGGTAATGGTCTGAAAGATGGAAAGAGCCCTGCAGAAGGAGGCTCTTCCCTGGTGTACTGTTGCTTTATCCAGCATCATGATGCTGTTACTTTCCAGCCAGTGTTCAGAAACCCTGTGTGTGGCACAGTATGGGTAAGATCCGTTCTAGGGTATGTGTAGTTTGAGATGCACGTAGGAAAGCAAGATGGAGAGGCTGAGTACATCTGGTTAGACTGGTTAAAATATAGATGGAACAGTGGGAACAGGGTCTATGTACATACTTTAAAAAAACCCCGTATCAACCAAACAAAAAACCCAACCCAGTATGTCTGTGGATCTGGAACAGTGCAGCAAGTGTGGGAATAGAGAAACCTGGATGAGAAGTCAGAGACGGGGATGTGAAGGTTCATGTCCATGCAGAAGTGATTAAAAATCCAAACTGATAAGTTTTCTTGGATCTCATTCATGCCTTATTTCCAAACGGTTAGATTTTTTTAAATCACCGAAGGAAGGACACAATTCAAATGGAAGTTCACTTGTGTGAAAGGCAAACATTCTTCATGTCTTCTACCTCTGCCTTTTCTGTTGATGTGTTCAGAGATGCAGCATCAGCTGTGTTCATGCAATTCTCCATGTGATGCCTTTGTCCCTTTGCAAAGGAGACTCAAAGCAACCTAGCTGAAATGAGGTAGTTAAAATCTAAGTCTTGTTAATATTTGTGTGCCTTAGGTTAAACAAGCATTCATGGATGATTATTACTGATGGTATGACAAAACTTTTTCTGCAGCTTTTTCTCTGGCTAGCAGGTTTTTTTTTTTTCAGCTGCCTCCTCCCCTGCCCAATACATGTATTTTTCCCTGAATTCCGTGTCTAGAATTGATCACCAAAAAGGGGGAAAAATTTCTATGCAGTTCAGCTTCAATGCCTATCTGCATAGCCTGGTTTTTATATTTTCAATTGGCATCACCATCTTAAACATGAACTGTATGTTCCTCTAGTTCCAAAACAAGGAGTAGGTGTCAGTGCAGCATAATACTGTATATTTTTTAACACTTTATGATGGAGAATTTTAAAGTAATGCTGCACACAATTTATTTCTGGTGTTCATCCTATATCTTATATGTAGTTTTCTATATAAGAATTTTTTTTATTTTACTTTTGAGAATTGCCTTTCCTGCATATAGGAAGATCCTGTTTTTTGGTAAATATTGAAGTTATTTTTCTACTTGTATTTTAGACTGTATTTTTGGAAATACTTCTTTGATGCTCTTGCAACTGCTGGTCACTGGAGCCTCCTAGGCAATCTTTGCTGACATGTTTGAGTGACGCATCGTACCTCTGTGTGTGAAGCAGTTCATGTTGTGCTGTAGTTTTGACACGTATCTGATTTTATTTTTTCAAGAAAACAAGAATTTATAAAAATCAACTATGTGTTTTAGTCATTTAAGCTAAAGCAGTTTATTTGTCTGTAAGGATTCACAGTGGCATCCAAAGCTCATGTAATGAGGCTGAATTGTAGACTTATGTGACACCATACATACTCTAATTACAGCTTCTGTGGCTTTCATTTTTTTATTAAAATACAATTTAAAACAATATGTATTGCAAATATTGAAGTTCTTTATTTTATGCTTTTTCATGTATGCCAAATAATGCATCTGTTTTTCTGTGGATAGACAAACCTTTAAGAGTCAGTTCTTGAATAAATTAATTCCAGTAAAAATACTATGTTTTAATGGTCTCGTTGTCTATTTTTCCTCTGTGTTCTTTGCCAGATTTTGCCTTTCCTCTCTCCTGTACGTGTTTGTTTTAAATATGTGGTTTACTTTGTTTTGCACATTCCTGTTCCTCTTTCTATGTTTATTGTAGTTGCAACTTTGCCTAACTACTTTAAAATACATCTCAGGAGTGGTTTTGCATATTCAATAAGGATACTGTGAATATCGTCAATAGCCAGTTAATGATGTTGATGGGTTTGTGATAGGAAAGTAATGCCATGAAAGCAGGATGCAAACCTGGACTCTGTTTTCTTCATCACTTTGAAGGAATGGAGGAGCTGATGTCTGATAGTCTGTTTCATTTTCTTGGTTGCCTCAGTACTGGTATCAAGAAAGAAAATCTTACTGACCAAAAGTCACTCATGGGTTTGGGAGCTCAGTTTGCTCTGCCTATCTTTCTTGAGGCTCTGTGCTTTGATTAGGAACCAGCTAATGGTGGGGGGGGGACAAAGACAAAACGAAATAAAGAAAAAGTTATTTGGTTTTTTCATTCTTGTAGTACTACAGAAGCAGTAATGAGAAGCTACAGTAACTTGTGTTCAAGTAGGTAGGGACATAGTGTTATTTATCTGTTATGATATTAATAGAGAGAGCTGTTTGTTTTAAAAAGGAAGAACATTCTTCAAAATGTTACCAGGTACTTATTTTCTTCTTAACTGTTGAGATACACTTGAGTGTGCGGTATATGAGTTGTTTAATGTGGGTAGAACGAAAACCAGCTTAGTTTGGGGGCATGTAGGAGAGAAGATTGCTGTATTCTGTAATGAAGCATTTGAAAGCCACGTAGAGTGATTTTCTGTCTTAGCTGCTCCTTACTGCAGTCTAGTAATGAATGTACCACAATACTACTACTTAATGGCAACGGTCTGAGGAATGGAGGGTACTTATCATTAGGTAAATTCTGAGGTAGAGAAATTAATCTAGTTTTGCTGTCATTTTTACTTTTCTATTGCTTTAGCTAAAGATACAGTAGAAGAGCAAGCATCGTGATCTGATACTTTAGTTGTATGTTTCTGAGGAGGAAGGGATAGAAGAGGGGAAGGAGAACTCTGTTGTGCTGTTTTTGAAGATATTTTCATAAACATCGTTACTAAAGCAGATTCTGCTCACTCCCCATCACTTCAGCAGTATTTGATTAAATAAAATGTAAGGTGTGTAAGAATTGTCTGGTCTTAGCAGACCAACATTATACTAAGTTATTAGGTGCTTAGCAGAGACCTACTTTGTACAGTACAATGGAGTCTACGAGTTAGATTTTCTTCCTTGGCCTGTTCTATGTGTATCCCGTACTGTCTGTTTTACTGTTCAGGTTAACTCAGCTACTTGAATGTCTGTTACATAATCCTGCTGGGTTCTTGGGGTTTTAGTATTTGCGGAATAGGAACCATAAATTAATTATGTACATAGGTGGGGCTACAGAGATAATTTTTTGCAGAAACTTACTTCTAAAGCAAATCGGAGAGAAAATTTATTTATTCAATGAAATTATATTTTTATTACAGATTTTGGACCAACCATGATGAACGTTTTTTATATATGTTAATGGAATACGTGCCAGGAGGAGAACTTTTTAGTTACCTGCGCAACATGGGGCGTTTCAACAACAGCACAGGACTGTTTTACTCTGCAGAAATTATTTGTGCAATAGAATACCTGCACTCCAAAGAAATAGTTTACAGAGACTTAAAACCTGAAAATATATTACTAGACAAAGAAGGACATATCAAGCTTACTGATTTTGGATTTGCTAAAAAACTGGTGGATAGGTAAGTAGGTTTTTTTTATAGTAATTACATTTTGCACATTAAACATTTGGAAGAGAGAAAGTTTGATTTCTGAGCTCAACATTTCACCTAATGCTGTGTGTGGTTCATGTCAAACATGTTAAATTCTTTAATATGAAGTAAATTATCATGTTAAGATGGCTGCATGGAAGCCATAAAAAATATTTTTATATGAGTAGTTTTGTATTTTCAAGTCTTAAACATTCATCTTGTAAAAAGAGAGTTCAATGAAGCAATATCAGCAAATCCTGAGATATGTACATCATCGTGTTAAATGGGACGTTAACCCTTTGTACATGTTGAGTTGCTAAATGTTTTGAAACTCGTGTTTCCTTCTGCTTTCCTTTTAGAGAGATTTTTGAAATATGGGAAAAACATTTTACAACTGGATACTGTGTTTTTTCACTGGCCTGTTGCTAAAATGAAAAAGCAAAATCTAGACAGAAACAATAAGGCCACCTTCAGCAGAAGTGCTTTGTTTAACTGTAACTTCTACAATACTGTCAGCCTTATGTCTATTTTACTAGCGTATGTAAACATTTTGATAATGCAGAAAGTTGTTGGTTTTTTTCCCCAGTGATTTCTTTGTTCTCTCCATTTGAACTACTCTGCCAAGAGTATAATGCATGTTCTTGAAAGGAAGCAAGAGTTGTCATTTGGATTAAAAAAAAAGGGAGGAAAAAACTAGCCTGTCACATTAGAAGAGTGGTGACAAGGCTTGGCATTATGCCCTTGGGCCACCTCTTTTTGGAGACCAGATCTGATTGTTCTGGTCGAGGCAGCCTACTGAGAGAGTTAAGATGCCCATCCTCTTCACTCATCTGTTTACCAGTTTGATGCCACTTTGGCAACAGTTCATTGTGTGTGGGGAATTGTACAAGATCAGTTTGAAGTGAAGGTGGATCTGAGGGAGCTACTCTTAATGGATTCCTTAGGAAGTAAAAGTCAGATAAGGCAAATCAAGTCGTGTTGTGGAGGTCATAAAGGTTGCCTCTCTGTGGTTGCTACCTTATGGGTTACATGCTCACGTGCTGGGTTGCCTCAGCACAGAATAATGGTAGGCAGCTAATGGATGTGCTGGTTCTATTCATGCTTAAAGTCTAAAAGTTTGTTTGACAAACGTAGTGTTTTAGTATCAATATGTTTACTGAATTCAGTTTCCACTGGGCAAGCAGATAGGTCTACAAATGCTGCTTTTTTAAAAAAATATTTTGTTTTTTAAATCAAAATAACTTTTTTGCAGGAAGAGGCAAGGCTACTTCCATGCAGGAAAGTGGGATGATCTCTTTATAAGACATTTTCATACGAATTCTTACGCTTCGTTTTTACATGTAGATACTGCCACTTAGTGGTTATTCTTAATTTGTCTTTCTGTGGTTTTAAGGCACAACAGAAGTAACACTTCATTACACAAGGTGGTAGTTCACATCAGAGTATATTTTTTCAATCTGGAAGATGAATCTATAAGCGTAAATTTGTTCAAATGTATTTTTGGACATTAAAAACAAGTTATCAGTACTGTTTTCATTGGGGTTTTTTGTGTCCCGCATTCCCAGGGGGGGCAGTGAACTTGATGAATCTGTGTGGAATCACAGAATTTTGTTTTTAATTACATAGTATTCTCCACACTAGCTGTAGTCATTTTCACAACGCTGTTTTTATCACTGTAAAAATACACAGTTGTCATCAATTTATCCACTAGTGCACTCCAGTAGGTTATTTTGTTTCATAGACTGTTTGATCAGAAGTATAGGAGATGTTTTGTCATTTTTATGCATGGCAAATGTCAGTACACATGAACCTTATGTGTACGTATTTGAGTACGTGTATGTGTGTGTGTGTATATATATAGTGTATATGATTAACAAAAACACATAGTATCGGTTTCAAACAGCTATGAGGAAGCCTGCCGCCTAGGACCAACAAATGTATTCCTAGAGAAGAGAAGATTTGAAATGTAATATAAAATGATCTGCAGAAGATCTTCAGTACTGTTACACATTCTTGATGCATGATACATCCCGTGAATAATTCTGTGGTTGATTAATTGAGATTTTTTTTGTATACATTTTTCTTTCACCCTTTCACACACAGTAATAGGAAGAAGTGTTCACCATCTCCATCTACAGTTAATGTGCTTTTTAGAGAGAGTGTCTGGCTTGTAGCTCATGTTCCCACTGTGGAAAGCAGCCTGCACATTTACCTTCCTATTAGTACATCGTTTTTCTGAAGGGCCTGACATTTTTTTTTTCCCTTTAGAGAAATAGGAAAGAGAGGAGTTTTTCTTGTCTCCTTCTGTTCCTTGTTTGATATGTCCTGTTTACCCTTGTTCCTGCCTTTTCGGTCATAGTGTACTTTTAAAAATTCTAAATTTTTCTCCAAAACAGTGTGTCTTTGCCTCAGCTGCTGTTTATTTCTTCTCTTTTCCACCCTGGTGTTGCTTAACTGAAGACTTAATAACCTTTTCAGTTTCTTGTAAGTACATTCACATAAAATAGATGTGCCACTACTTCAAAAAGGGTAGTGTGAAGAAAAAAGATGGGATTGGGGTGTTTATAAATGATTATTACCTGAAGGATGTAGAAGGGATTTGCTTTGAATGTTATAGCTATTACAATGATAGACCGTTCTTTTTCTGGAGAGCATATACCACTTTTTGGGTATAGTGTATCTATTAAATGTGATCCTGATATTTCTCAGTTGTTTTGGAGGTTTGTTTTTTTGGTGTGTTTTTGTTTGTTTTTTTTTCTTTATTCTTGTGTTCTTTCACAGAAGCATGAAATTAAACTTAATAGAGCTTTGTATTTTTTTTATGCACAGATTTCTTTCAGTGGTAGGAAAGTTTTAGATGAAGTTAGAACTTCTGTGATATTTATATTTTATTTTATTTTTTTTCTTGAGAAATGTAAACTGTGAATTTTAGTTTGTTCAGTTTACATTCTTAAAACAAATAATATTGAACTATGAAAATCTTCCTAGGAATTAGCCTTAAGAGATATTGGGAATACCTCTGTACTGTTGCTTAAGCTGCATGTGCCTCATGACTGTACTGCAGAGTGGATTGAAAAGAAAAAAAAACAAAAGACACAGCAAGTTTTGTTTGCAAAGTATATTGTTTGTCACTGTAAAAGCAAGAATGTCTTGCAGAACAAACTTTTGTGGGCTGGGAACAAAGCAATCTCTATTGACTATAATTATGAAGAAACTTCCAGAAGAGAATACCAAAAAGGACATTGTTGTTCATCTCTGGCTCGTATGCAGGAAGCTTGTCAGGGACTACAGAGATGGATGCTGAATGATGTAGAACGCTAAAATATATTAAACATTGAAACTTAACTTCAAGTAATACTGTTAACAAGTCCCACAAATATTATTTTGTAGCTTGTATGTATGACATGACCAGAGTAGATTTTGTTTTAATTTCATGTTTAAAAATTACGTGTTCAACCTTATCAAGTATTGCTGTACCTGTTGCTGACCTTCAAGGCCAGGCTTGATGGGGCTCTGAGCAACCTGATCGAGTTAAAGATTCCCTGCTTATTGCAGGGGTGTTGGACCGGATAACCTCTAAAGATCCCTTCCAGCTCATCACATTCTGTGTTCATTATTTGAACTGCTGGAGCAGGTCCAGAGGAGGGCCACAAAGATAATCAAAGGCCTGGAGCACCTCTCCTATGAAGACAGGCTGAGAGAGTTGGGGTTCTTCAGCCTGGAGAAGAGAAGGCTCTGGGGGGACCTTATAGCAACCTTCCAATACCTATAAGAAATCTGGGGAAGAGCTGTTCACTAAGACATGTAGCAATAGGATGGAGGTAATGGTTTTAAACTAGAAAAGGGTAGATTTAGGTTGGCTATTTAGGAAGAAGTTCTTCAATATGAGGGTGATGGGTGGTAGATCACTGGAACAGGTTGCCCAGAGAGGTGATGGGAGGCCCCATCTCTGGAGATACAAGGTGAGGCTTGATGGGGCTCTGAGCAACATGATCTGGTAACATTGTCCCTGCTCACTGCAGGGGGGTTGGACTAGATGAACTTTAAATGTCCCTTCCAACCCAATACATTCTATGATTCTGTATTTCAGCTTTTGTATTGAAAAACCAGGCCAGTGGACTTTTTGTAGCAGTTTGAAGGAAACAGTATATTCATATTTTTCTGATTTATAATTTATCTTCAAAAGTATGATCTGGATTTTCAGATGAATATGCAACAGTCATTAATTAGTAATGATTAAAAAAAAAGTAAGAAGATTTGATCTTTTTATAGAATTTACTTGATATGTTTTCCAAAATATCAAATAATTTGTCTCATGACCAACAAAAGAGGAAATAGAAGTCTGCATGGTAGGGCACAAATACAAATCCTTGACAAGGAATTTGAGCTTCTTCCAAGTTTTTTTGTACTTAATAAACATAAATTTCTTGATTCAGAGTAAGAGAAGTAGATGACCTGCTGGTGGTAATAAATTTTATTTCCTGGTGCAGCTAGGGTTATTATGGCATTTTCTTAATTTGGGGTTTTCCTTTTGCTTGAATCGAAAAGATCATGTTATTTACCTGTATGGTAATTGAGGGTCATTTTAGTTACGTTGCCACCAGCAAATTATATGGGTCCTAGAAGTCATGGTCAAAGTTAGACTGTTTTGGGTTTTTTAAATCTTTTTTAAAATGTAAATGAAATTGATAAGGGATGAAAAGCACCAAAGATTATGTCTTTGCTGAATTTGTGCATTCATAGTGTTGGCAGTTTTTGGGGAGGAAAGGTTGACTGTTGTGGGGCATTGTCCTGCAAATGGTCTAGCTTGTCCATTACGACAAGTGTGCCTGCCCTGTCTGCTTTATTTATACGGTCCTTTTTCCCAAATACACTGTAACTGACAGCTGCTTCATTTGCAGAGCAGGCTAAATCGATATGAATAAAACTTCATATGATGGATTCTAATACAGCTTTTTAAATCTGGGGGAGGGAGGATTTTTTATTTTAAAAGACAACAAAGCTTTGCTATTTTTCTTAATTACCTAATCCCGATCTAGTCAACTGCTAGATGGCAGTAGTGTGTAACGCAGTGCTGTATGTAAGAATTTTCTCAAATGTGCTTGAACTGGAAAATGAGAGTTTGTTTTCTAGCAATAGAAGTTATGTCGCCCTTTTATGTTAAACGCTAAAGATGCTCTTTATGCTAATGAATGTAGTTTCAAGAGCCGTGGAACACAGGGGGTGCAGAGTGTGTCTAACGCATTCTGACAGTTTAGGTGGAGTAATTTAGATTTTTGTCATTCTAAAATTAAGCTTAAAGAAATTCAGCTCTGTGCATCGTAAATCTTCATTTGAAGTCTTGACTGACTATACAGCTCTTCTTCCTTGATCTGAAATATTTTCATGAATCAAGGCTGAGGCTTAAAAAAACAGAACCAAACAAAAAGAAAACGAGACATAACCAGCCAAAAAAAAAAAAAGGGTTGACATTCTCAGATTTTATAAGGTGCATCTTGAACATCCATTTACGGTTAGGAAAAAGATTTGTTAAATTTAGCAGAACAGTAGTAGGAAAAACTAGAAGTAGAGAGGACTGTATTATTTCTAAAAAACGGTGCTTGCCGTTCATCTGAATGCTTTTGTTCAGGACCATGTTAGCAGTTTGAGTGGAGAAGATTCTTCCCGTGCTCACAAATAAAACAATTAGAGTTTCCTTTGCTGCAAGTTAGAAATCGTGTGCAGTGGTGATTCATTTTGTGACTGTATTCTCTGTGATATCTGACTATAACTTTTTAAAATTGCAATGTGCTTTGTTCTTTCGTGTTCTATGCTGTTATTTCATTCTCTCTTTTATTGGTGAGCACTTTTTCAAAGTTTTATCTTCTGACTTGCTGTCAGGGAAGTATAATTTATTCAGAGTGAAAGCACTTTTTCCCATAAGTCAAGGTAGTGTGAAGCCAAGCAAACTCTATATGGGTATTTTTACAAAGAAGAGTTGAGATTTCTGAAAGAAATGCTTTCAGAATATTCTTTGTTTCAAATTGTAGTTTGATCTTTGTAAACATTAACTGCTTAGCTTCAATTTATTTCATTAGTTTATAGAACTCATAATATGCATTTTGATTAGGTAGCATGTCCTGAGCTTATATTAAGAAAGCTATAAATAAAAATCGCATTAAACTATACAAAAATAATATTACATGCATATTTCACACTTGCTCACACTTAACTACACCTTGTAAGTATTTTAAATAATTAAAAATATTAAGTATTTTCCTTTTAATGAATATTGTGAAAGTGATGACATGTTACATTTCAATACTATTAGATTGTGAAGGGAATCTTCATTATGTCTGCAGCTTTTTACTGATTTAAACTACTACTTTTTTATCATGTCTTCTTTTTTTTCTTAAATAGAATATTTTCCTTTTGCTGGAAAAGGCCAATAAGATCACCTTTTGCTAGGCTTGTAGGAGTAGTCCATGAACTCCTAAGGTGTGCAGCTTGCACGGTGAAAACCACTGTTGTTAATTTCAAAGTAACAATTTCAGAGCCTAATGGATACAGTACCATAACAGCAGTCAGGAAACTTAGTGTGCAGATATTTCCTGCAGCCAAGAAGTTTCTTAAATTCCCTCTATCTCTGTTACAGGAGAACTGGAGAGCATAATCAAAGCAGTCTTTTTAGATCTTGTAGAGGACTTCCTTTTTTCTCTTTTACTGTATACAGTAAATACATAATTACATGTTGGGTACTTCCTATGTGTGTGTTTGGGTTTGTTGTTGGTTTTTTTTTTTCCTATTACTGTTATTTCAGTTTCATTTCAGTCTGGTTATGGTGTTTGTTTTGTGAGTTTGTTTTTCTTTTCCTCGCAGGACATGGACGCTCTGTGGCACTCCTGAGTACCTTGCCCCAGAAGTTATACAAAGCAAAGGCCATGGAAGAGCTGTGGATTGGTGGGCCCTAGGAATTCTTATATTTGAGATGCTGTCAGGGTAAGTGATAATAGTATATCACAGCAATATTATGTAATACAGTAATAAAGGAATCTTAACTAGTTCTGTTTACAGTATGTGGAATAGTAGATTTGGTCTCTGGTACTGATTATACCAGTTCATTCGTGCCTCTGAAAAAGGAATTAGGAAGCTATACAGAAGAACATATATCACTATTGTTATGGGGAGCTTTTAATTTTTTGAGTCTGCTGGTTTTGTTTGTTTGTTTGTTTGTGGAGGGTTGTTTTTTTAGTTTGGTTTTTTCTTTTTTTTTCTTTTTTACCTAAGACTTTTTTAACAGCTGCTCTTTTCCGTATCTGTTTTGGAAATTCAGGTATTGTTGAAGTTTACATTTTAATACATAATATCTTTTATATTTAAAGGGTGAGGAAGGAGACTACCAGTTTTCTTTGAAATTTCTGTAATTAATTTCTAGCATAGTTGCAGTGGGTGCATTAGTCTGTAAAAATGTGTAGTGGCAAGTAGGAATACTTTCATTACTACAGCTTGTATTACTACTGAGCACTGGTTTTCTTTAAACCAGAAAAAAAAACCAGGGAAAAGCTTAAAAGATGTATCTGGAAATCAGTTTGCTCAAACACTACTTTTGATGTTGTGGAATTTTCTTGATAAGCAATGTTTCCAAAAGGTACAAATTCAAACTAAAGAGAGACTTTCTGGCATTAGTATAATTAACTGTTTCTGACTTTAAGTATTAGGTAGATAAAAGTAATTGTCTTAATTCGCTCTGATTTCAAAAAAGAAATACTATTTTCAGTGAAATAAATAACTGGTTTCCAGAGAACATGAAATTCTACTTGTGTACTAAATATGGCATCCCCATAGTTTTCCTGTTTTTTGTCTTGACTGTATCTTTTGAAAGTACTTGGAAAAACAAGACAAAACTAAAAAATAACAACAGAACAAACCCCCAAAAAACCCAAACAAAATCCAAACCAACAACAACAAAAAAAACCAGCCCAGGAATTTTGAAAGAAATCTGTTTTGCCATGGATGGTGCAGTAGAACAAACGCAGAAGAAACAGGGTATTTCATCTGTTATGGTTTCATAGTCTTTAGAGCTTCTTTTAGGTACCAGGCCCAGTGTGCTCTGTGCCTTCTTGCTTCGTAAGTTTGTGTCGCGTTGCCTCTGCAGCCTTTCATTCTGGATCTGCAGCCTCATAAAGTGGGAAGAGTAAAAATATCGTTGCATTGATTTATCCCTCCTTTTTTCTGTGCAGTACTGTCAGTTCAGGGTAGCTTTGGTGACTCTTCCGGTGTTTGGACAAGCTTGTTGGATTGCCTGGGCAGACAGTTCCCCTGATGGGTGATCACTTCAGAGCTCCAGTCCATTGTGTGTGTTTGTTGTGAAGTCATCCACGTGACAGCATCAAAACTTTATCCCAGGACAGCATTGCTTTCTTAATGTCCTGAAGGCTTGCATATGCATTTACTTTGAATCTCAAGGCAATTTCTGGACAGAAAAAGCATAAAAATGTACTAATAGCTCCCTACTGACCCAGGTCTAATGAAAAGTCATCATTTATGTAGGCTGATCTGTGCAGAGACCAGGCTTCACCGTTCGTCCACCGATTCCTGTAAGGGTGAGCAGACCAAGTTGGTCTAGGGAATTTTTCTCAGATGGATGAAGGGAGCAAGAGTTTCCCAGCAGCCTTGTTGCCACTAATCTTAGTCCTAGACAGCATGAAGACTGTAGATAAAAGTGTCTGGTACTGACACATGAGTGCAGGTGCCGCAGTCTCCCAGCTGTAGTCTGAGTGATTTCCCTTCCTGCCATGGGTTTCAGTGAGACCGCTCTCTTATTTGGTCTGTGTGGTCTCAGTGTAAGTGGATATTGGGCATTTTTCCTCTCTGGACCTTGCAGAGATGTTAAGTTTCTCTCTACTAGAGTAGTAATAGAAACATGGTTTCCAAAGTTAACATGCTGACTACAGGGGATAGTCAAGCAAAATCTCATCTGTGGAGTCGGTGAGACCTCAAGACTGCAGGGCGCTCTATATTCCATTGAAGTAGGACTGGTATATATTCTTCATATAAAAAGGGAGCAGCTGCAATCATTCCTAGGTAGGATCTTCTATGTCCTGACACTATCTGGCTCAAGTGATGAAATCTGGATGCCCTTAAGTTTAATATAATCACTCAGGCTATAGAAGCACTTAATCAATAGAGAAATTACACATTTCTAAAAAGCGACTGAGATCTTTTATAGGCTGATTGACAGAGCAGCTGTCTGCTCAAGTGATTTTAGTAAGTTTTTAATGCAATGTTTGTGTACATATGCTCTTCATAATGATTGGATGCTGCTTTTAATTTTTTTAGTGTTCAGGTGGAATCCCTATCTAAAGCTGAGATAGAGGTGTGGATTGATACTACTTGCTTTGGATTTTTAAGATTGTGGGGTTTTGAGGGTTGAGGGGGACAGAGATTGTAGCTTGTGTGTTTTCTTTAGGAGGGCAGGTTCTTACCTGAGGCATATGCTTTTAGCATTTTGTCAGGTTTTCGCTGTTGTTGGCAGTAGTGTTTTGAAACACTTTTCCTCACCAACTTTTCGTGCAAAAACAGTCCAAAGTAATTTTATCCCTTGAAATTCAAAGATTTAAGAAAGGTGAAAATTATTTTAAGGTGAACAAAGGCTTACTTCAAGACTTAAGTTACTATCTGCAACTAAATTACTTAAGACATTTGGTAGTTATTTCCTGAAGTTACTCTCTCTGAACCCCAAAAGCAATTGAAAAGAATTGGTAGATGTGTGTGTAAGGAAATGGTCTCTCTCAAAACAAACAAACAAAACTGCACTTTCCTGTTCTGCAGTGTCTTATTTCTCTAACTTAACCTCTAGAGGCCTATGGAATTCTACTCCTGCACATACTAGATTTAAGGTAAGGTCCCATTTAGATTTAAGATAGTAAAATACAGGAAGGGGAAAGAACAAGGAGAACCAGGTGTAAGAAGAAATCTTTACAGAACAGATGAGTAATACTGAGCTCATAGACTTAATGTAAACAAGCTAAAGAAACTGTCAATAGAAAGACTTGAAAGTTCTATTTATTCTGAGTAAATGTATGGTGTTACAATATACCATAGAGGAATATACACTAGTTATTTATGTTAGGTCATAATTGTACTGTCATCATATGCGCTTCTAACTGAATTTTTCATTTATTGAGGGCTTTGCATTTTTCGTTTTAGCTTTGGTGGCCATATGTGATGTGCTGGTCTATCATTTTAGGTAGCTAATGATTCCTGTTATGGCTTCATAGTCTCAGACCTGTGTGTTTTCCCTTAAGGTTTTACAGCTTTTCTCATTCAGCGCTAAAACTGTCTGTTATCTTTGAGACCAATGGCAGTGCCATTGTTAAGCATCAGTTGGCGAAAGGAATGGTTTGCAGCTGTTGTCTCATATACAGATATAGATTTGTTTTAGCTTCTTTTCAGTTGGTCAAAAAAGGACAGCTGTTTGTATTTGTGTTACAGTGTGAAGACAGTCTGAAACTCAAGAGGAGTTCTGTTGATTTATTAGGTAGCTTCCAGCACAATACTTGTTGTTTTGTCTAAAATCTGTACTGTGTTGAAGACTGACATTTACAGGTAGTATTAAAGTCAAGTTATTTTGTTTGTCCGTAAGAGAACTGTAATTTTTCAAAGTTGTTCTCATTTTGCATACAGATCAAATGCACTTCAAGCAGCATTGCCATTAAATTATTATATAACCAAGTGCGACCTAAATTTCTTTCAAGAACTATTACATTTTCAAAGTAGAAAAGCAGAGAGTAAGACAAGAAGTAGTCTATCTGATAGCTCATAACTTCATGAAGAAATTTCTAGAAAATAGTAAGTGTGGAATTCTAACTGCATCTTGATTTACTGGTCATCTTGGGACAACTATGAACTAAGTACTTTATCTGTCCAACACAGAAGGACAGCTGCACTTTGAGAAAATTTCATGTTCTGAAGTTTCTCTCTTTCAAACCTTCTCTAACAAGGCATGTACTTGAATTCAAGAAGTACAGTAAATAACTGACCTGAACAATCTACTCATATGAGGCTCCTTTGACACTTTAGACAGAAACTAGTGAAATATGCCTGCAGTTACAGGACAAGATCAAAATTGGAAATGCTGTTTTGGAAAGTGTACCCTTGGGTTTTATAGATAAAGGCAAATCTTTAACAATGACTATTTGTTTCATAATTTAGATCTTTATTAATGTAACAAAAATATCTTTTAATACTTTAATTCTGTATTCAGTGTGTTGTGTACAAAAATGTTTTTTGTTTCACAGTAGAGTAGCAGCTTTAAGTTAAGTTATTCTTCAAGTTAGTATTTGATGATGATGCCCTACCAAAAAGAACTATATAATCAACAATTTGTGAGGGGAATTATCATAACATAATACTGTTTATAAGATTTTTTATAACTTCTTTTTTCTAACCTCTAAAAATCTGCTGTATTAAAATAGGTTTCCTCCATTTTTTGATGACAATCCGTTTGGTATTTATCAGAAGATTCTTGCTGGCAAAATAGATTTCCCGAGACACTTGGATTTGTATGTAAAGTAAGTCCATGACTTCCAACACTGTCTTTTTCATTCTAAACACCTCCTGAGCACTCTTTCTAAAGGATCTTCATAAAAGATGAGATACCAGGTCCTGATTTTTCAGAACACTACGTTGGAAAATATTTTAGACTCTGTTCACTCTTGTAGTCCAAGTAAAATTGTGTGTTCTGTAGACTTCAAGCTGGAGATATGGTTGGAAGCTAGTATCCACCTCATGTACTTTTCTGCGTATTTTGGAATATTAAATGCTTTTCCATATTGTACTGGGCTCACTGGGACCAGTGTTGTGCCTGATGGAAAAAAAGAGAAGAAATATGAGGAGATAATTAAATAAGTAAAAATTAGGCGAGCAGAAAGCAAACACTAAACTGTGCCTTTGTATGCATATGTACCAGTTAAATCACTCTCAACGTGACTAATTGAATGAACTCTGTGATACTTCAAAAGTTCCAGTGTAACATCAACTTCCACTTCTAACAGCAGGGCCCCAGTTCAATATGCAGTCTTATATATATATGCATGCGTGGGTTTTATTCATAGTGTTTTGCAATCATTACAGGTATATTCCAGATTAAATTCTTTTTTCCCTAAATAAAAATTCCATAATTGAAGTAATTGTTAGTAAACATTGGAACAGAGGAAATGCAATTTTAAACATGAAGTTTATCATTAGAAGCAGAGATGGTTGAGTGAATGTGGACAGGAAGTTAGTGTTACATTCCCAGGTTAATCATTCAAGGTGTTTTGAAAAAGTGACCTTAAAGATGGCACTTGCCTTCTGTCACCACTAGATAAATAGATGAAATGTTGTATGGCAAGTCTGTCCAGCTTTCTCTGAACTCTTATGAGTTCTCTTGCAAAAATCATCTTTTGGGAAAGATTTTTTTTAAACCTCCATTGAATCATCAGGTGCACTGGATCAAGTGTGTCTGCATCAGCTTAGTCTGATTAGTGTCTCGTATTTCTATCTGTTCTTAACAGAGTTTTCCTTTATCTTGGTGTTGTTTCCAATTTAGTAGTCTCATTGCCTGATCTTCCTAATGTAGTCTGTGTTAAGAATAAAACTGAGTATCTCACATAGTATTATGTGCATTAAAGTACAAGCGTGTGACCAGAGGATGAATAGCTCAAATTATGTTATCACTGGCAACCTGCCTAACATGGTGAAGACATTTAAAAGTAGAGATGCTCCTAGCTTCTGTCTGTGCTTCACATTCACAGACCAACACTGGTTTCTACTTTTCAGAAGATGCCTGATGCTGTGAAGTTTCCTAGTTATGGTAGTAAGCATGCATATGCAGGTTTTACTTTTCAGTCTAGACGTGACTGCCAGTGAATTGTAGGATACATTAATCAACGTAGTTGTTGATACACCTCGTTCCCAGCTTTTCTTACCCAGATGTTCTTTCAGTGTGTGCTTGGCAGCTCATTCCCATTACACTACCTTTAAGGTTTCTCATGGGCATTTTAGCTTGGCTTTCCTCCATTCACACCTTGGTTTTGGGTGATCTCATTCATTTGCATGGCATCATCTGCTTTCTGCAGTGAGTTGTTAGCATAATGCATTTTCTTGTTCCATCAACCCCTCTTCTCTCTTAAACAACAATATGCAGAACTGGATAGTCTTTGGGATCTCTGCACCATTAGCTTAAAGCAAGTGCCAAGATTATTTTGTCCAAAGAAGACAGTCTGTTTCTTACCTTACTTATATCCTGTTTGCTTGCTTTCTTCTGCCTATCAGTTGGTACCTCAGCAAGGATGAAGATTATCTTTGGTCCTGTTATATCCAGCCTATGTCTGAAGCATTAGTGCTATATAGTGTTTAGAACAATTGAACTTTAAACTCCCTGCTCTTAGGCAGCTAAACTGTTTTTCTTTTTGAACTCTGAGAAAACTTTTCCACCTAGGTGTACTGCATAAACTTACTGGTTGACATTTTTCTATCCACTGACCCCCTATCACTCTCCCACACTTGTTACCTTTTGAATTTGTAGTGCTTTTGCTTTCCTTTCTGCTGCATGATGTTCACTGTCTTACTGTGCTTATAGCTACTGTGTGTCTTCTAGAAGTGCTGTCCCTTCTGGTCTAAGCTAGCATCTTTTCACATTACTCTCTACTGTGTCTTTTCTGTTAGCTGCCTTTCGATTTGATGTTTTCTCCAAGTCCTTTGTCCTTTATACATGAAGTCCTTGATACATTTGACCATTAGTTCACATCTCTTCAGCAAAGCAGCTTCTGTCATGGAATAAATCACCAACTCCAGCTAGATATTCCAAAATAAGACTGTCAGCAGAATTTTGTGTTACTTCATTTCTGATAAAACATAAATATTAATTATGCTCCATCAATTTCTTTGGTCACTAATGGGTTTATAATTTATTTCTTTGTATTTTTATTCTTTTCCTTTTGTAAACTTCTGTTTGCAAGGACAATTTTGGAAAATACCAAATGAAACATCAGTGATCCAGCAGTTTAGTGATTATCAGTCTAGAAAGACCTTCATGTAGTATTTCATTCCCCAAATTCATACAGCAGTGCATCTATTGCATAGATTTTAACTTGATCATTTATAGATTATTCTTTAGAAATAATTTATAAAAAAGCAATAAACTATCTGTTACTTGTTTCAATGTAATGGATACTTGTTCTGTTGAATGCAGCAAGTGTCTTCATCTTTAGTGACAATGCAGTATCACTAAACAAGCTCATCCTTTAACTGTTCTATTCTAAGATGACTTTTTAAAGGAAGCCAAGAATGATCCATTGAATGTTTTCTGGTTATGTATGAATAGGAAACTCCATTATTTGTCTTTGTCCGTGTCACCTGTGAACCTTGTTCTGGGTTTCTGGATTTCTGGATTTCTTTTCAGTCCTGCTTCTGTTTTAAAGTCTGGTTATAGCTGTTCTTGTAGTCTTTTCCATAAGGAAGAGCCTTCTTTGCAAAGCACTAGAAGGAGATATTTCTGCAAAGTGACTGTAAAAGGAGTCAGTCATGTGATTTAATCTAATCCAAACATTGGCTGGAATGATCATGAGAGTTTTAAAAAATTGCTTTCTACCTTGACTTTTTTATTCTCCTTTTATCTGGCATTTGAATATTTTTCCAGGTGAATTTTACAACCATATTCCTGCCAAACAACAGCTTTTCGAACAGCCTAGCATGTTCATTCTCAGTTCATATATTCTTTGTGCATATGCTTTTGTGATTCCAAGGATAGGTAACAGAATACTGGTTTTGGTTTGGGAATGTACGTGTTAATAGTTAAGGACGAAGAGAGACAGATTTGTCATTAGAATGTTTGCATTCTTTTCTGTAAATAAAGCTGTTGTGTTTTTTTTAAACTTTCTGCAAAGTTAAAGATTTGCATGGGCCATACTCTGTAGATCCCCAGCGTTTCATACATTATTGCATCTCTCAGGTTTGTTTGAGGCTGTAGAAAGAGGAAAGATGGATAAACTTTTTATCTTTCCTATCACTGGTACTTTATGCTATGAAACCAGAATGCTGCTATTCTAAAAATAAATAGCAAAATAATCTTTGAGATTAAAATTAACTTGCTTATAGAAATTGAAGCCAGATTTTTCTCTCAACTCACAAGTAATCAAGCTGACTCAATAAATCATGATATTAACTTTGACTATGTTGGAATTTTTGGGTGCTTAGTATTTGAAGTACTTTACTATTAAAATGAAAGCACTTTGTCTCTAAACTTATGTTCGTCTTTTAAAATGTTGATTTAGCTCTATGTGAGACTGTTCAGTGAACTAGAATCTCAGGGGAGGCTTTTCATTTTTAAATGTAGTTGTTACTAGTTTTACCTGGGTGACTAGCTCTTCATTGATTGAATATTTAGCTCCTGCAGAATTTAAATGTCAATGTATAAAGTTGAGTGTCTGGCTTTATCTGTATTTTTTAATAGAGTTGTGTTCCGCCAAATATGTTTGAGATCCATTTTGAGATTTAGAATGCCCATAAAAATACAATAATACAAAAAAAAAAGATATAGTACTACTCAGGGAGCCATGGGAAGAGAAAGAAAGTTTTTCTCCTTTCTTTCTTGAAAGAGTTTAAAAGGAGCTTCGAAGAATTCTGCAAGTTCCTTTTAAAACATTTCCTTATCATTCATACAAGCGTCTTAAAATACGAATGAAATTAATGAATAGATTATACACAGTATTAGCAAGAGAAGGAGAAGTATGCTTATATTCTGTAGTATTTGTATAATGATAAAAAAGAAATTACTTTTGTGTAACAGAGAACATGTTTTCTTTACTGCAGAGACCTTATTAAGAAACTGCTTGTGGTTGACAGGACAAGACGATTAGGAAATATGAAGGTCAGTATAAAATGTTAGGTGTAATTCAGAACATAGCGCAAGGTTGGAAGAATCCTGTAAGAAAGATATAGAACAGCTCTTCTATGGCTTTTATTTATATAAACTTGAAATTGAAATTTATTTTTCCATATATTATTTCAGTTATGCAATCCTAAATGCAAAGTTTAACTGTATTTTCTAAAATCATACTCCTGTTTGTCTGGATTAATGTTGTCCTTCATCATAATTTCCCTCCCTTCTCACCCTCATTTTTCCCTCACTCCCCAAAAACAGAAACATGGAACTAGTTCTATAGGATAGGGTGCCAGCTGATTTGGTTCTTTCTTTGGAGTTATTTCATCCTTGAAGGAACACTAATCAAATCTGAGGCTTAAAAATTATTTTAAAGAATATAAGGGTTGTTGCAGTACCATGAAGTTTGGTCATTGTCCTGATAGCTTGGTGTTGGAGCTGATTAAGCACAGCCAAATGGTCTTCCACCAAGAAGAATTATTCTGAACAGACTTCTGCAGACAATAGCTTAGTCAAAAATATGCTCATCTGTCTCGGGTAGCATTCCAGTCTCAGAAATACATCTGTATCTGTGATCTGTCAAGGAGGAATGCAGAGCAACGCCGTGAACTCTGTGAGATGTCCGGATGTGGTACTACTTGTTGTGCCAAGGCGATGACAGCTGTATTACAAACTTACTTGATTCTGCAGTGGGGCAGTAGCTATGGCTGGTTGCACAGTGAGAAGTTAGCTGTGTGTGAACTAACTGAGGTACTTTAGCAGGCTAGTCAAAGCACCATACAAATCTCAGTATAGGTTAATTTACACTTCTGGCAGAGTAAGTTAATCTTCTATTCATTGGCTTGTTATTGTTTTTACAGTGTTGCAGATAGCTAAGTAGCTTGGGTGACCTTTTAGTTTTTTAAAGACAGCTAAAATTTCCATTTCCCTGGGCAGTGGAGGTAAGAGGTTTGCTTTTTTTGCACAAAGCACAGTTTCTGGTGCATGTAGGTGAAGAAGGAAAAAGATGCGCACTCGTCCAGGTTCCTTGAACGTAATGTTTTTAAGTATAGATGCTAGAACCTGCTGTCCAGAGTTCCTTTTCAGAGCCTTTTATGGCACAAACTTAGATTTGTAAAAAGAGCTAAGAAATAGGTTTTTTTTATCCTTCAGAGTTCTTTGAAGTATTTTTCAGGGCGAGAGGCAAAAAGGTTAGACAGACCAATAGTCTGCCTTGATACCACAGTTCTCATGATGAAATATATAGTTTGTCATACATATAACTTTGTATATACTTGTTTTGATTTTCTTTCTTTAAAGAATGGAGCAGATGATGTGAAGAGACATCGATGGTTCAGGTCTATAGATTGGGATGCTGTACCTCAAAGAAGACTAAAGGTATATTCTGCAAAATACTGCATAGGACATCACAACAAGAAATCATTGTTCATTTAAGCTGATCTGTTGAGATTTTGTTGCCTGTTGCTTCTGTGTGCTCGTGTGTGTTTGTGAGTACATGAATAATCACATGCTTCTTTTGCCTTTTACACTGCATAATTTATTAGCTTAATGTGTACTTGCGTTTTTCTCTTTGTACGAAATGTCTAAAAAAATTCCCTGCTTTGTTTTGCTGATGTTGATTAGTTAATACAATATTTAATTTTTGGTTTTAGAATTTTGTAAGGAATTACTTGTTCTAGGTGTTTTTTTTGTTTGAGGTCATGGGTGGTTTTGTGGCTTGGTGGTTTGAGTTTTTTTATTATTATTTGATTTGATTTTTCCCTTACCCTTATATCTTTGGAAGTATTTTACTCTGGGTTTTAAATTTTTGTGCCAAGTTCAATTCAGGTAAATGCTTTATTAAAATGTAAAGTGTATTGGAGTAGGAGGAATAGGGAAGGTGAGAGAGATGGATTTATGAATGTAATTCTAACAGACTTTCTAACAGCACTGAATTCTGGTATTATATGAGGGCAGGTGTTTGCAAAAGCTATCAGCACTGCAAAATGTATTTTAAAGCCCTTTGGAAGTAAAACTACCTTTTTCAAAGTTCTGACTAGTATTGTTTCTTCCAGCAGTGATTTTCAGTAACATAGTTTGCCATATGCAGTCAATCAGGTACCAGTTAAATGTTTGGTTTTCCTGTTCTTTGAATTAGTTTTACTATGAATTTCTGGCTAAATATCTTCAATTGGGTTCTTGCAAAATAGGTAAGGAATGAAAATGTTCTGATGGGTTCTTGTAGACAACATCCTAATGCAAAGCAGTAGGTAATTTTTTTTTCTCAGCAAAAAAAAGTTTACATTGTTTTAAGTGTGTGGGTTTTGGTGTTTTGTTTTGGTTTTTAATGGTTACTACACCCAGTTGATGTTTTACGTAGATCTACTGTAATGAAGTCAGATTTTTTCCAAATTATTTACTGTAAATTCTGGTCACACAATGAACACAAACTGAATGATAACATGTCTTATAAGTATTTCAATTCTGACTTATTTATTTCGTACGTTGTCATAACAAACAACTAGTACTAAAACCTGAGTGTTAGAGCTACAAATCAAAAGTCTCAGGTCTAAACATAGCTTGTCTTGCATTTTAATTTTAGTAAAAAAAGAGAGTCACCATGGCAATCAGATTATTATGCATTCAAAAAATTGTTTTTTAATCTTTGTGTTGGTTACATTTAGCTCTTAGAAGACAATGTGCTGCTTAGTTCAGCGTGAAGATGTGAATTGGATCAGAAATCTACTTGGTTATTTCTTAAGGCACCTATATTCTTCAGAATTAGTTTTCACAATCTCTCTATTTCATACTGATGAAGAGTTTGAAATGATGAAATAAGGGATACAGTGCTCCATTTTCCTGTAGAAAAATGTGAATTGGCCTATAGCACAAATAAAGCATTGATTTACAGTCCTGATAGATCTTAAACACCAGTATTGTAAGGATAATAGTAATAGCTGAAAGAGAGGAAATAATTTTGTTAATCTAAAATAAAGGATTTTCCTTTATCTCTTCTTATCCCACCCCCACCCCACCCCTAGTTTTTGAGTGTCACTTCACAGAACTGGTTTTCCTGCTTGAAAGGCTTACAGGGAGGTGGAGGTACCAGGCATTGCCCACAGTGGAGCAGATAGTTCTCTGGAGTGGAGCAGATTCTGCATGTTTTCTTAAGCATATAAGCATCATAAGGGCAGTGTACTATGACTGCCACATGCAAAAGCAGGTCTTGGCTTTTGGCTGAAGCTTAGAAGTACCATCCCCCAGGAACCCTTTCTTTCTCATGGAAAACCTGCCGATGGCATTGTTTCCAACTGAAGAGCACAAAAGATCAGACCTAGTGGAAGCTAGGCTTTTATCTTTCTGAGGAGCTGCAGAATAAACGTTTTCCTGTACTTCATACACCACTTGTCTGTGGCATGACTTTTATTAGCCAGTTTGGTGATTGTCTATAAGGTTTTCTCATCCTAAAGTGTTTTGTTGGGCTCATGACGATTGATAAGCTCTCTACTGAGAAATGGATAGAGACATGAGTAGTTTTTGAGAGAAGAAAAGGGTTTTGCCATAGGTTAACCCCTGTGATTAATGAAATGTTCCAGAAAGGAGCTTTATCTCATAGCCTGGTGGCCAGAATGGCAGAGTAACATCAATGCTAGATAGAAGACAAGGAAAAACTACAGGTACTGTGAAGCTCGTAGGCAATACTGGAAATACAAAGGATCCCCTGAGGAAAGAAATAGAAAACAGATACTTCTTTTGGCATCTCCAAGTTTTCTTTATAAAATCTGAATTAAGATGCTTTATAGACATCCTTGTGAAATGAGGTTTTTACAGTGCAGCAATTTCTTTACTTGCTTGAATTTATTGCTAGGCTAGGAAAAAGCATAGTAGGTAGTGTGAAGCATACGGAAGTTAGTAATTTCAACTTTGTTAAAAGCAGTAAATCTATTTGAATGTGATGAAGAAGAGGCTTTTTTCCTTCAATTAAAAAGCAGTTAACCACGCTACTGTCAAGACTCTTTCTTAGAGTGTAGTTACACTCGGGAACCTAGTGTGGTTACACTCTTTTTTTGCTCACAGGCCACAGAAGAGGGGAGGAGGGAAAGTGGCAGAATATGCTGTTACACCACATGCCTGGAAGCTTAGTTGTAGTCTTTTGCAGTAGTTACCTTCAGTTTGCAAACCAGCTGGAACTTGAGTGCTAAATAAAATAGATACCTGTATTACAGGTGTCATTTAACCACTATATTTAACTGCCATATAGGCAAACCATTGGAACCTATTTGTGTCGCTACAAGCTTCTCTCTCTCTTGTGCCGTTCCTTATTAGTGAAAAAGGTGAACTTTTGTAGATATAGACCCCTTTTGTTTAATCAGTCTTTTAGAGAATTTCTGCTTTAATGTGATTGAGAGGAGCTCATTGAGAAAGCTGTACTTAGATTTTTTGTTATGCTTGTTCTGACTAGCCTCCCATAGTACCAAAAGTATCCAATGATGGGGATACTTCCAATTTTGAAGCTTATCCTGAAGATGACTGGAACAAGACACCTCCAGTACCCCCTAAAGATCTAGAAATTTTCAAGAATTTCTGAATGCAGCATCTACACTGGACGAGGTATGTCCAAATGTCAGGGGTCCTCTTCAAAACATTCCAAGTCAGTGAGAGTCATATGCAGAAACTTATATCTTCTGATTTGTAATGGTGATTAATAGTTCATTACATCTTGTAAAATCAACACGAATCACAGTAATAGATAATGTGAAGTAAACTGTTGAAATAAAATATTCTGTAACCGTGCTTATGGAATGACAGAGGTAATTTATCTCACAGATTTTGGTGTTCTGCAGTGATTAAGAGTTAGTCACAGATACTTAAGTCTTTTTGTCCTTAAAACTTTTAAATAGTGTGTTAAAAGCAAATTATCTAGATGGATTTGACAGATAAGGAAATACGATTGTTCTTGACTGCAGGATTTTTGTATTAAGACTGAAGATGTTAGGGAAATAAGATTATCAGATGAATTCTGTACTCTGGATTTTGTCTTGTAACTGTGATAGGTTGATACTTGTCATTCAATTCACATGCTCCACATTGTATTTTGTGTTTCTTTTTCATTATTTTTTGTCTTAGAAACTGGAAGAAAATTGAAGTACTAAGAGCAAGTCTGAAGAAAAACGATGTTCAACATAAATGAAGACTTTTTGTGAATAAGAATGATGCTGCATTCAGATATGCATATTAGTATATAATAAATATCTAAAGAGTTGGAGGCAGGCAAGAATAGTTTTTTGTTGTATTTGCTGTAACATTTGACATTAGTTTAGTAAATTGTAATATTGATAGTCTACTCTGAAGTAGACTCACTAATATAGTTTAGGATTTTTTTTTTAACTTATGGTTTGGTTAAGTTTCCTGCTATTCCCAGATCCTTTTTGCATAGTTAACTCATAGACTTAATTTTATAAGTTTATACTAAACTTGTGTAATTAAAAGCACAAATTAGTATATATGTATATAATGAACACAGTACAGCTAAAGCACAGGAACTGTGCAAAGATGTAAATTTTTGTACTTTGCAGAGTCTATGATTTTTATTTTTCAAATAATGTTTTTCAAGAAGTTCTCTAGGAATAAAAATCTTAAAAGGATCAATGAGTTTTTCATCATCTTCTATACATTTTATAATTCTTTGTAAAATAAAAATTAAGTTTTAAAAAAGCTTTGTACCTGAAATTTCCAATGCCTCACACTTACAACCGTAGTACTTGAAAGCAGAAAGACAAGGGCATGTTTTATTGTTGATTAATATGCATCATAATGGCTAATTTATGAAGTTTTGTTAGTGATGTCTCTTTACAAGTCAGGATATTGAGTGATTATACACTGTCTGAAATGAGATTCCTCACATGAAGACTCTCTGTAAATGTGCAATTCAATGCATACTGATAAAAGGGCTCTAGCAGGCTCTTACAGGAGTTGTTCTCAAGCTTGCTGTCTTCTACAAATGTAAAGCATGAGTCACATCAGACTTTTTTTCATTCTTGAAATAGTTCTTGTTGAATGCATGGCACTTCAGAATGTCAGAGGGAAAACGGATTGTATATTAGAGCTTGATTTTTCTGCTCCTGCTTTTGGAAATGTCCTAAAGTCTTTGCTGCCAGGAATTCCATAGGTACAGAGTTCAAACCTTACATCTAAGGCGTCTCTTTTTTCATCCCCTACTAACATCTTTCTAACAGCTTGGGTACGCTACACTGTATTAGGAAGAATTTGCAATACTGCTTCATTTTAAGTAGCACCAAATATCAGTATGTGCATATGTATGTATCTGTGTGTATTAATACACGTGAAGATGAAGGTAGATTGTATGCAAGTCAGCATCTTTTTTGGGTTTCTTTCATGTTACTTATTGTGATACTTGTTACAGTAGGGGAATTGATTTTGGAGTGCTTCGATTTCAAAAAGTAGTTACATTCTTTCAGATGATGTGATTAGGTAACTTTTAGTGAAATATTGATATTTAGACCAAAACTAGTTTTTTCAAAGGAACATGAGCTCACAGGAGTTTCACTACGGAACGACCTCCTTTTTCTTTTGATTTGCTCTAAACAGTACAGAAGTGCTCTTGAGAACTTGCAGTTTCTAGGGTATTAGATCTGTTTCTCCATAGAGCAAGTCTAACTTTAAGAGATTGCATAACTCTTGGCAAAAAGGCACAATGTGTTAAAAAAAAATTAAAAAAAGTAAATCTGCATACTTCAAAGTGGTAAATCTGGAATACCACAAAGTCATCTTGATGATATGCAAGTGCCACAAGTTGATGGCCCCAGCTGCCACTCAGTGAATACTATGTAGGCATGTATGATGAAATAGAAAATGATCACTTTAACCTGGTAAAATACCATATTCTCTTGAAAAAAATTATCTGGTCCACTGTATTTGTATCTTTGGAATTAGTTATTTCAAATAAATCAGAAAAACCGAAGCACACAAAATGTAGCTTACTTTGTCTAAGAGGAGCAAGCAGAGTTCAAGTTTTTTTAAAGTGTAAGCTTACAGTATTTTCTGGAATCTGAGTACTACAAAACCAGTTTCTTATTTAAAAAATGTACATACTGCAACAAGTAAGTGTGCTAAATATTTTTTTAATTTAAAAACTGCACTGTGTTTAAGTCTTCAAAGCTGAGGAAATAAAGTTGTATTTGACTAATGTGCCACATTGGTGGTTAGAAATTTTGAATGCTTGAACAACAGGAAATAGTGGATTTTCTTTTTATGAATCTTATCCATTGCTGGCAGTGGATGCACTGACACTCATTGTGATAGAGACTAAGAAGCAAATACAGTCCTATTAATAATGCTAATTTGTTGATTTTATATTGTTTCCGGAGCCATGTGTACATATGCTTAACTACTGACCTCGTCAATATGCTTTCTAGTACAAAATTTCTTTCAGTTTTTTTTAATTCCTTAACTAAAAAAAAAAACCAACCACATGTATTTTAGGCATTATTTTAAGTGATCAGTTATTTTTCTGTATAGCCTTGAACTTAATGAGCTGTTACTACCTGCCCAATTTATTTATTTGCACAGGTGAGTCTGTTTTATGTCTTCGCTGGGACTTCATGACCCACTAGAGTAGTTCTGTCTGGGTGCTCACACAGAAGTCCCCGGATGCACGCTGCATTAAGGACTCTTTATTTATGGGGTTTTTTATGCAAACAAGAACACTCTGTTATTTTCTATTCAAGTATGGTATTCTCTGAAGTTCAGATTATTATGGTTGCTTCTGTTAACATGTTTTTGCATATAGACTGTTGCATAAGGACTGTTCTTGCAAGAGCCCATAGGCCTTTGGTATTCTGCTTCAGTGAACAAGAATGTTAAACATTAAAAAACAACCTTTATTTTTGAGTTTTATATATATATATATATATATTTTTAATTGCCCAATTTGAGGTTTTGAGTGAGAAATCTGCATTGTAAACTCAATTGCTTTGTAACCAAATGATATAAATGCTTCATTATTTCAATGGAGAACATGCTGTAGATTTTCCTGTAAATTAGCTTGATCAATGAATATATGTGCTACTGAGCTTTAACTAATGTGATCTTCCACTGTAGAAAGTCATTGTTAATGGATCAAATATAGGTACTAAACTATGTTTAAATGGATGAACAGGGACTTTGCAGTTTTGAAAGCAATTAAGATATGGCTGTTTCTCAGCCCATCTGCTTGCCATTCAGAAGAGTTGTGATGCAGTGCTTCCTATGCTATAGAATTATTTCCCAGCTTTCAATGACTGTAGCATGATTCCTTTTTGTACTGTACTGTGTACAGACTTTCCATGTTTTGCACTTTTCTATGGCAAACCATGACTGCTTTATAAATACTCTGTTGTGTAGGTAAGTAGTGATAGTGGTAGCAGGCATTTGTGTACTGCGTAATCGGTTTGGACTGCTAGACTTGCGAGGTTAACTTGGACTAATGTATGTTGCTGGTTGCTTGTAGTAGCTCACATGTAGAAATATTGTTCAAAGTTACAAAGTCAGCCCTCATTGCACAATGAAAATCACTGTGATCTGTACATAAACCCTAGTAAAATTTTATTGCTGTTTAATTTATGTAATACCTGTCAAATCTGGATTCATTTAATAAACCTTTATAACTTTTTAAATGTTTAAACCTAGTTTGCTTCCATTTATGCTGGGAGGAGGTCGGGGTTCTTAATCTGAAAAATTGATGAAGGAGAGAAGAGAGGATTAGGAAAACAACTGTTCCTTCTTTTCAGGATTTAAGTTTTTCCAGAGCAAGACACAAGTGGTAGAACATACTTCAGTTGGCATGGAAGAAGCACAAAAAAGTGTATTTTCTAATTCATTTCAGGTAGTTCACCAATAATGAAAAGTGTTAACTCAGACTTCTCATTAAACTTTGATTATGTGACCCTAATTGCTTTGACACTTTCACAACTTAATGACCTGAACACTGTCCGAAACACTCATTTCAATTTGTTTCTTTAAGCATCAAAAAATATTCTTACAATATCGGTCACACCTAACACAACCTTTGTTTCATCTCCCATCAAGAACTTCAGAAGTCCATTTTTAACAAAATTTGTTCACCTGTTGATGTTTAAATTACTCTTGCAGTGTCAATTGTATTTCATTTCTTACCCACTAGATAGCGTAATATTGCAGAGATAATTGCGAAGGCATAGAAGCAACTGGTTACAGTTTTGACTAGTAAAAGGTTGTTTTTCCTAACACAGAACTTCGTCTTATTTTTCTGCCTGGCTTATTTCTAAATTTTGTTCATTGACATTTTTCTCTTGAAAACCACGATGTCATGTGCTTGAAGAAATTGCTGATGGACAGTGAAGGAACACTGCAATGAGCACTGGCAAGCTTTTAGTCATCTTTGACATGAATTAAAAGAACGGCTCAGTTAAAACATACCAAATTCTTGAATGTTAGCAAAAGACTAGGGTAATAACAAGATGCTAAACCAAATTCTCTACAGACACCCTGGACATTTGCTATCTGGTAGAGGTTTTGTTCATTTTTTCTAACCTGATTACTGTATCTTTTTTTGACTGCGTATGTAACTCTGGATCTTATCCCACAAAGGCTATTTGAAATAAGCTTTTTCACTCATGCAGGGCAGGTAAGTTTTGCTGGTGTGTAACTTTCTCTGGACCATATTCAAATAGCATTACTCACTATTCCCAAACCTGTCTCACTTCCATGGTTCATTAGCACTTTTTACTGCAAAACACTGTTGAAACAGCATTTGACAGGAACCTACGCTTCACAGAACGAGTGCTGTCTCCACTGGACTGATTTTACTTAGTTTATCAGAGTATATCATAGACACCTTGAAAAGTGTAGTCTTTCAGCTTAAACAACTAACCAACTTGACAATTTTTTTTAATTATTTATTCCTTGTCTCCATCATTTTGTGCATAATCTGGACTATGGTAATAAAGAAGGCAAACGGAAGAGTGAAAACTAATTTGCAAAACCAGAAACTTGAATTGGACCTTAATTCAAGAAATACCTTGGTATGTCTGAACAGGACATACTTATACATGTACTTGCTCTGTCACTGAAAGTTGTAGAGGACATTGTGCCTGTTCCAGATTTATGCTGGCCAATAAGTTACAAACTGCTCTTCTTCCCAATGCTGTAGAAAAAAAGAGTTGTAGGAGCCAGAGTTTATTTGAACTTCGGTCATTAATTAGTCTAGTTTAGAGAATCCTTGAGGCTAAAACCCCTTGGTTGAAGAAGGAGAAAAGTGCTTTACAGTCATCACCATCTTAATTTTCTGTTCTATGCAAGTGTAAGCATTACTACTGATAATGTAGAATGTAATTCAGTTCTACTGATAGATTATATCCTTTGAAGCATGTTAAATTACTCAACATTCTGTTCTTAGTTATTGATTAAGCTTTTACCCATGCTAGTAACACATTTTGCAAATAGAAGCACGGGTAAGTAAACAGAAGTGGATAAATTATTTCATCTTTGTGATAATTAAACCAAGTATACAAATGCATTATTGATGAACAG